CTGCCTCGCATAGAGAGGGGTCTCCATCACATGCTGGATATGTGAATGGATGAGCAAATAAATAAACCAAAGAAGCTTTCAAGTTTAGACTTCCTTGATCAATTTCATACTAACTAATGACTCTTTAATTTTCCTACTCGTACTATTAAAGGTGAAAAGTACTAAATCCGAATTGCCTTGTGGCTTTTAGCACGGGTTCTGGGGCAGATCTAGAACCCCAGCTCCACTGCAAACTGTCCACGTGATGTTGAGTGAGAATCTTCACTGAATATCATCATCTGTAAAATGGCAAAAATATATTCTGTAGATGGGGACTGCTAAAGGGATTAAGCGAAAGAACAGAAATACTCAGCACACAGCCTGGCAACAATAAGCACCCAGTATCTGTGAGCTATCACTGCTCATATCATATCAAACAAATAGAAGACCCACTCAAGAAGCTGGGGTTATGACTTTAAATTGTTTTTAATACGATTCACTAAAAGACCGGTTAAAATAAGTAAAAATTAATGGATGCATAAACTCAGAAATGGGTAATTCCATAGTCACTAATGAACACGTCATGTCAATTAGAGGACCCAAGTGGTTTCCCTTTCTCAAAACTGCTGGCCTAGCACACCTATACTGTAGGTGCTCAGGCAGTGTTAACAGTGCACAAATACTACTGATTATTTGCATGTATCCCTAAAAAATGATGTTACCCATTGGCTTGGCTTTGGATAGATCCTCAGAAATTGCCCATAAAAGACAAAAGGCGGCCCAGCCGGTGTGGCTAAGTGATTGAGGATGGACCCATGCACCAAGAGGTCCTGGGTTCGATTCCCGGTCAGGACACATGCCCAGGTTGTGGGCCACATCCCCATTGGGCAGCATGCAGGAGGCAGCCAATCTATGTTCTTTCTCATTAATGTTTCTCCCTCTCTCTCCCTCTAAAAAAAAAAAAAAATTAAAAAAAGACAAAGGACAGAGAAACTGAATATAGAAGTCATGCTTTCTAAAGTCCAGCTAAGGAAAATAGTTATTTGTTCAGAAATATTTCTTTTTTTAATTAGTGCTGTCAAAAATAATTTAGCATGGAATTTGCCTTCTGTGTGAGAGAACTTGATCTTCCTGAGTGACAGAAAAACAGTAGGAAGATGTGAGGTTTGACAGCACTAAAAAATGCCTAGAAACTTTGGAAAAACAAGAAGACTGATATGAAACCCTGACCTTCGGGTGTTTCAGAAGTTGAGATTGACGGCCCGTTGCAATGATTAATGTTCTCAGGAATCATTTACTATAATCAACACCAAAAAACGGGCACAAAATGTGACAATAAATTACATTGATAGCTTTCAGAACAATGCTGTGAAATAGTTAAGTAGACACACATTATTGTGAAAGAAATTTCAGACAATTCAAATGGAGAAGGTGAGGACATGGGGGAGCGAGAGTAAGGGAACCCAAAAATAAAGTCATCATTTCCTAGTTTATGCTGAAAGCCAACAAGGGTGTGTGCACACACACAGGCGTGAACACACACACACATGCATGTGTACACACGCAAGGAGCTGCATCCTTTTGACTAGAAAGCAAGAATTCAGGCAAATCACAATGAGCGAAAAACAGAAGAAAGAGCTGACTATTCTATGACAAATTGCTCAAACCTGGCTCATAGTCTATACTTTGGAGTTTAGATTAGGCAAGCTGGTGTAAAGAAACGGATGCATATAATTCTGTACCTGGTGATCTACTCAGAAGAGCAGCAGAACTTCCAGCCAGACGTTCTACCGCACTGCAGGGTAACTCAGGAACCACCCCAAGGGCTCCAAGAGCTACGTGGACTCTACTTACTCACGCGGCTGAAGTTTAAGCTGTGCGTCATTGCGGTGCTTGAGGACATTTTGATGTCTTTAAAAAAAGAAGACTGGAACAAGAAAGGAAAAGAACACAGGGTGAAGAGCAGAGCCAAGGATAGATGTGGGGTTTGGATTCATTAAATGTCCAATATTTGTACCTTGCTAAGCAACTTGACCTACATGGTCTCATTAATCTCTCGGCACCACTGGGAATAGGTATCCTTATCATCATTTCTGAGATGGAAAAACAAGGCAAGTCCACAGACATGAAGAAATTGGTTCAACATCACAATATACTATGAAGAAACAGAACTATATTGTGATCAGATCTGTCTACCTTCCCACTCACCACTTGGTTAAATTTGATTGAAACTAAATCAGAATCATGGTCAACAGGAGCCCAGATGCACTAGCCATAGTTAGCCATTGTCCATCAAGTCACCTAATGTTCTTTGTCAGGGTATCCCTATGTCCTGGAGAACCAGTCTTTGATATCACGTGAGGGTCAAGAGATGCCTTAACCTACTCCTCTCACTCCAGGGATATTTCCATAAAGATGTTTTTCAACCAAAGGTCACAGGTCTTTATAATAAGAAAGATCTTCTGAATAAACTCAAATGTTCACATTGCCCTTACTACATATCCATGCAAGCGGAGGAAGTCCACTCCAAAGGGCAAATGTGTCACCAGAAGGCTACGTGAGGAAGGTGGAGTCACGTATACCAGAAATGGATATTTTTAAAGATAATTCCATTTAAGCTGAGTCTGACAATTCCTGTTGAAAAGCCACTTTGACTTGTCTTATTTTATTTATTTTTTATTTTTTTGTCCTCACCTAAGGACATTTTGCATTTATCTTCAGATAGAGTGGGAAGGAGAGAGGAAGGAAGAGAGAGAAAAACATCGACGTGAGAGAGACACATTGACTGGATGCCACCCACACGACCCCAACCGGGGCCAGGGACAAACTGCGATTGAGGTACGTACCCGTAGCAGGAACCGAACCCCAGGACCCTCTGGTCTGCGGACCAACACTCTAACCACTGAGCAAAACTGGCCAGGGCAGACTTTTCTTATTTTAAAAACTTACTTCCTTCTCAGTGCTGTACCTTTCTGTGAACTGAACCATCCACGTTTACTTCTCTTCCAAGAACTGTGTACATTAAACCTTGAGAAGGGAAACTTTTCAGCAACTCCCTCCTCCCTGGAGTTAGTGACCATTCTGATTCCCATTTCCAACCCATCTGTACTGGCATCTCATGCTCCTGTTCTCTCTCGAGACAAGTCCCATTCAATTTCTACAGCCATTTCCGTTTCTCTCCTGTTGACTTTTGATTTTGTTTATTTCTACCAAAGATGCTTCCTTCTTATTTAATTCTGAAATTTTCTTTTGTGGCAGAGACGGCCAGTTTCCTTCTCAAGTTCTGTCCTTTCTCAGTGATGCAACCATGATTTCATGCAGGGGGTGAAGGTGCCGAGTCAAAAGGCCACCCTTGCTGTGCCTAGATGATTAAGGTCTGGCCAATGACACGTAAGTGGAAGTTGTCGGGTGATTCATCTAGAAAAACTCCTTAAAAGAGCAGCAGACAGCTGGTGTGGACACTTTGTGCTCTTCCTCACTTCTCCCTCCTGCCTGGTGTATGAGCCTGGGTTCCAGCAGCAATCTGGGGAGAGAAGGGTAGTCGCACATTAAAGATGGCAGAGAACATTAGAAAGAGGCTGGGTCCAAGAAGATGGTGGCATGCCATCTTCCTTACACTGCCTGTTTCTGGAGAGAGAAAAAAAAACTTAAAAATTCATCTCATCAACCCAGCATTGTTGTTACTGGTATCAGTATGCCATTTCTAGCAAATATCTAACTTAACTTTTGTCAAACCCTTTGAGGTATGACGAAGTGAAATGTTTTTTGTTTTGTTTTTTAATGTTTTTATTTATTTTTAGAGATACTGAAAGGGATAGGAAGAGAGAGTTAGGAACATCAATTAGAGAGAGACATCAATTGGCCATCTCCTACATGCCCCCCACTGGGGATCGAGCCTGCAACTTAGGCATGTGCCCTGACCCAGAATCAAACCAGTGAGCTCTTGGTCAATGGGTCCATGCTCAACCACTGAGCCACATCAGCTGGGCTGACTGAGTGAAATATTATAGGGTATTGAAAGTCTTTGATTGAAGACAAATTCTATTGCAGTAAATTTAACTTTGAATCAAGCTTCTAGAATACTACTGTACATAAAAATGTGGCAAATAAACATTTCAATATACAATGTAAATATAGTATGTATTGAAATTTCTATTGTCTCAAGGACTGATGAAGATCTGTAAACAGAAAGACAAGTATTCGGTATTTGGTTCATGGATAAGGTCTTAAGGACTTAGGGTTGGAAGAAATCGCTTACGAAAAAGAGAAGTACTGATTTACCTAACACGAAAGTTCAGTGGTGGGTCTGGTTCAAACCACGGCTGGCCCTTCAGGATTCTCTCTCTATTCAGCTTTCAGCTCTGACTTTCTTTTTATTGGCTTTACTTTGAGGCCATCTCTTCCAGGGTGGCGGCAAAGTCAGCCACTAACAGATTCAAGGCTACAGTTTACCAGCTTTTAAAAACCAGTGGAAAGAAAGCATTTTTTTCCAAGATATGATATATTATATTACCATTCAACAAATATTCATCATCCCCCTTTCAGCTTTCATGAGAGCTTTTGATATTGATATTGGTCATGTGATTTGCTTTGGCCAACGGAGGATGGGATATTAGTAGGTGTAACTGACATGGGTTTGAGCTATAAGAAGCTTGCACCCTGGGACCTGCTCTCTTGCATTTGCATTTTATTATTAAAGTTTTATACTCTGAGTTGAGTAGCCACCGGACCGGGGAGGATGAAAGAACATGGAGCAGAGCTAGACTGAACCTGCGGCTTGGAGCCAAGGCCAGGCAAACCCAAATTCAGTTCAATGTTATTGTGCTGTGCAACTAAGCTTTGAAGTAGTTTTGCACACAGCATTTATGAGGCACCAGCTAACTGATGCATGTGGCATTCCAACAAAATTTTCAGGCTTTAATCTCATTACCTCAGATCAGTGGTTCTCAAAGTATGGTCATCAGCATCTCTCTCCTAGTAGTAGCAGCAACATCACCTAGGAACTTGTTAAGAATTCTTAGGTGCTCGCTTTGGCAGCATATATACTAAAATTGGAACAGTACAGAGAAGATTAGCATTGCCCCTGCACAAAGATGACACTCAAATTTGTGAAGCATTCCATTTTTTTTTTAATCCTCACCTGAGGACATTTTTCCATTTTTTGTTCAGATAGAGTGGGAGGGAGAGAGAGGAAGACAGAGAGAGAGAGAGAAACATCAACATGAAAGGTGCACATCAAGTGACTGCCACCCACACGATCAACCAGGGCCAGGGACAAACTGCAACCGAGGTACATGCCCTTAGCGGGAACCGAACCCAGGTCTCTCTGGACTGCAGGCCAATGCTCTAACCACTGAGCCAAAGTGGCCAGGGCAAGCATTCCATATGTTTTTTTAAAGTTGTGGTACATATACACAATGGAGTACTATGCAGCTGTAAGAAAGAAAGATCTCTTATCCTTTGAGACAACATGGAGGGACCTAGAAAGTATTATCCTAAGTGAAACAAGCCAAGCAGAGAAACACAAATATCACATGATCTCACTTATTTGTGGAATATAATGAACATAACAGTCTGAGGACTAGGGTAGACTCAGAGACGCGGAAGTAGGGTACAGACTGACAACCCTCAGAACAGGGGTGGTGGGGGGAGGGAAGAGATAAATGACAGAACATACATGCATGTAGGCTTAACCGATGGACACAGACAACAAAGCCAGGTATGGGGTGGAGGGATGGGAAGGAGGGTGTCAATGAGGGAAAAAAAGAGAAACATCTGTAACAAAAATAAATTAATAAATTGATTAAGAGTCAAAAAAAAAAAAAAGAATTCTTAGGTCCCACCCTAGTTCTCTAAGTTCATGACTAAGAGAATTATGAACTCTGAGGGAGGGGGCTAGCAATTTGTTTTTGCAAGCCATCCAAGTGATCCAGATTCACCATATAATTTGAAAACCACTGACCTAGATCATCTGTCCATCCTCAGACCCATCACAGTGTGTAAATAACAAGGCATGGCGCTGTGGGGTGGGTCAGCAACACCAGAATTCTCAAAACCAGTGGGGTAGGGCCTGAGAATGTCCGTTTCTAACAAGTTCCCCGATAGTGCTGATGATGCTGGTCTGGAGTACACTCGGAGAATCACTGATCTAGTTTAGGTTAGGCGTCCACAACAGGAGTGGCTAATTAGAAAATCAATATTCTATTGACAAAAGAAGGAAAGAAAAGAAGAGGGAGGAGGCCAATGTCAATCGCAGCTGCTTGGAAGAGATCAGACAACCACCAATATTCTCCAACAATTCTGCAGGAAAAGGAGAATCTGGAGTCAAAAGAGAATTCTCATCTGTCTTTGAGTTTATGAAATTGATTGAGACGTGAACTGATTTTTCCGTCCCTTCATTTTGCTGAAATTCAATACAGATCTGAGGAATTCAATCAAAAACAGCAGTTCTTTGCTACAGAGAGCCGTGTATCATTTCAAATGTGATGTGGGTTGTCACACAAATCTTTCTTAGTACCATTCACTGAAGATAAATATAGTGCTTGAGGAGACAGTGTCTATCTATCAAACAATTGAGTCATTATGATCCATTCCAGCGAAACCAAGACAACAGCCTCTAGTTTGGAGTGATCCAAGATACACAATAGAATTACAGACCATGGTTATTGCCTGTTTTTCTTCTGTTTTTGCAATATTGAAATCAAAGAATTTTAGACCTCAAAGAACCTGAGAGATCATCCACTCCACATATTGCAAACCACTATGGATGGCCCACCTTTCACCCAGAACTGTGTTTTATTTATCCTGCCACAACAGTGTTCTTCTTTTAATTAAAATGATTGACAGCTTTAAAATGTTTCCACTTTGCTTGACAAGTTGGAAGGTCTAGCAACACACGTTGTGGACAGAAATCCGGTCTCAGGCGGCACAGGGAGTCAGAGCTGAGTGTTGGTGTCCTGGTTGTGACGGACTGAGCACCCGGCTCCCCATTTTGCTTCACAACCTGCCTACTTCATTCATTTCCAGGGCGTGCCTGGGTCGTGTACAGGTTTGCTACCTCTCATCTGGACAAACTCCCTTGTTTTAACAAAGAGAGAACACTGAGATTTATGCAATGACCCACTTTAATGCACATTATGTCTTCACTGATAGACCAAGTAGGCAGTTTTTCAGAAGTTTAGAATGTAGTTTCTCTTATAGACATTTGGCCATCGTGGAAAACGGGATTGCGAAAGTTCCCCATTCAGATTCTGTTCAGTCGATACTGAGGTAGGTGACTCATTTCAGTATATTTCTAATTTCAGAAATCTAAAGAAAGACAAATCCAGGAGCAACAAAAGAAATAATAGCCACCATAAGTATAATGTAAAATAAATTTTATTTGGATCTTGTACCCTCAATATTTTTAACTGCTTTGGCAAGAAAGTTATTTTTTTCAATTAAAAAGTTTATTTTATGCTTCACACCCATTAAGATGACTACTATTAAAAAATATTAATAGCAAGTGCTAGCAAGGATGTGGAAAAAATAGAATTCTTGTACACTGTTGGTGGGGCTGTAAAATGGTGCAGCCGTCACACAAAACACGAGTACAGTTCCTCACAAAGTGAAAAGCAGGGTTACTACACGATCTGCAACTTCACTTCTGGATACATATCTGAAAGAAAGAAAAACAGGATTGCAGAGGTGTTTGCACCCTCATGTTCATAACAGCACTATTTAAAATAGCCAAGAGGTAGATCAACCCAAGTGTGCATTGACAGATGGATAGATTTATCAAGTGGTATATACATATACTGGAATATTATTCAGCCATAAGAAATTCTGCTACAACAGGAATGAACCTTGAGACACAATGCTAAGTGAACTAGCCAGTCACAAAAGGACAAATTCTGTGCGATTCCACTTATAGGAGGCGTGACCGTCATAGGAACAGAAAGGGGAAGGGTGGTTGTGAGGCACAGCGGCGGGGGGTAGGATTTGTTGCTTAATGGGTACAGAGTTTCAATTCTGCAAGATGAAAGGGTTAGGAAGCTTTAGTTGCACAATAATGTGAATATACTTAACACTACTGAAATGTAGTCTTTAAAAACGATTAAAATGGTAAACTTCATGTTATGTGTTTTTTATCACAATAAAAATAACTTTTGAAAAAGCAATTTCTTAGTCAAATTGGCTAGGTTTTCTGGGATCTGGTGTAATTATTTCAAAGATCAGAGTGGCTCCAGAAATAAAATATACCGAAGAACTTACATGCATGTATGAGTAACCAATGGACGTAGACAACAGTGCTTGGGGGTCGGGAGAGCAGAATAGGGAGGAGGGTGTCTGGGGGTAAAAAAGGAGAAACATCTGTAACAAAAATAAAATAATTAATTTAAAAAGTAAGAAGAAATATAAAAAACGATGTGTCTCGTCCTGTGGCGGCCGAGTGCTCTGGGCACCTCGTGGAGAGATCTCCATTCATATCAGCACTGCTAAGCATGTTCAAAGGCAAAGTCGGGCTCTAAAAGAATCTTCTTGAATAATGAATAAACGAATGCTCTGTAGAGCTGAGACTGATAAATTTTTAGATTACAATTTTATCTTGGTCTCAAAGCTATAACAAAACGTTTGCATTTAATGTTTCAAATTAACTCCAAAAATGTGTTCAAAAGTGAGACATTCAGTTGTTATCATTAACAAAAGACAAATAAAGAGAGATTAGAAAATATATTTTATGATATTTAACCCATTGGGATTAATCATTGACTTGGGGTTTTTAATACCCTTCTTGGATAGATTAATGACTCCTACTCACTAATCCTAGAGACCATTGTTCCTGGAGTTAACAGCAAGGGCTCTTACTAGCTACTCATATTATAACAGTTCTGTCTCTGTTGGGTTATCAATCACTGAAGAAAGGCAAGCTCGGGTTCAGCGTCCCAAAGGCAGCCCTGCTGCAAACCACCCTCTAATAACTTTGTCATTGTTGGTCTATCTTTCTGCTGAGTAAGAGTATCTGAAACCTCCTAGTGTGCATATTGTTCTGCCTCACCCCTCTCCACTCTGTCTTAGGGTCTCCAAAAACTGCCAAGGGAGGACCACTCTGCCAAGTGCTCTAAGTGTAACTCAGCAGGCTGAGTTTGGTTCACTGGAGTCATTTCACTTGACTCCTCCTGTACAGCCTCTCTTCTCTATGGATACTACTGAACTGTAAATAGTGAATGTTCAGGCCTATGAAATGGAAACTAGAATCTATCCAGGAAACAGATTAGTCTAGTTCTCTAGGGCTAGGCCACCCTTAAAATACAAACTACAGACTCATCTAAAAATTACGGAGGAGTCACAGTTGTTATATGTGTCTTGAAGCTTAGCTACATCAACAAACATTGTCATGATGTGACCGTACTCTTTGTGAATTCTGAGACTATTAGAGAAGGGACATTGGGGGATAGAAACAAACAAAAAAAAGTGAGACTAGTCTTTGCTCTCAAAAAGTTTATGTCTTAGTCAAGAAGATAAGTGCTATTTACATGATTCCAGAAAATGCATGACAGTGTATAATCAAGTGTCAAAAATTGCAGTCCGATACATTTATTAAAAGAATTTAGAGAAAGAAAAGGCCAAGGTGATATAGAATATTGAGAAGGGTTTTATTAACTTGATAGGGTTCCAAGCAGACCTTGAAGGAAAGATGGAATTTGACATTCAAAATAGTTTGAGAGCAGACCACCCATACGGTCTCACTTTGATTCTACAATAAACAATTTCTGTATTTGCTTTATTACTCATCTATCCATCTATTCATTCTTATAACCATCTGTCAATCTCTCTTATTTAAAAATATATTTTAGGGGACATTGCTAACTTCAGTATATCTAACCCCTAAAGACTTCTGCAGGACTATTATTAACTAGAGTTTAATCATTGCTGCTTGTTTAGGGAGATCAAGTTTACATAAACTGAAATACCTAAATCTTAAGTGTACTCTGACCTTTTCTGATAATTGCTTATTCCTGAGTAATATTACCCCTCTCTTCAAGATATATAACATTATCATCACTCCAGAAAGTTTCTTCATGTCCCTTCTCTATCTAGCTCCCTTGAAGCAAACACTGTTTGAAATTTTTTCATCTACAAATTCGT